CCAGACCAACCTGAACAACATGGCGAAAGCCTGTCCCTACTGAAAACACAAAAGTTAACCAGGTGTGGTGGTACACTCCTGTAATCCCAGCTCCCTGAGAGGCTGAAGCAGGAGAATCACTTGAGCCCCGGTTGTAGAGGTTGCAGTGAGCCAGGATTGCACCACTGCACTCCAGCCTGGGTGACAGAGGGAGACTCTGTCTCAAGAAAAAAAAAAAGAAGAAGAAGAAGATTGATTTGTCCAATGGAGGTCTCTTGGCTTCTGTTCTCAGCCACCCCAAGGCCTGCACAGACTGGCCATGATATCAGGGATGGAGACTACAGGTAGGAACCCAAAACTGAGCTTCCTTTCATCATGGCCAACCTAGCTACTGCCACTGCTGAACACTTAACCTTCCAGCAACAGCAACAGAGACTGATGCTGAGCCCTTGACTCGGCACAGTTCTTAAAAAAGACCAGCCAACCAACTGCCAAAAGATCTATTACATCATATCCTTTCCTCTCTGGAAGAAGCAGTGTTTCAACCTCATAAGAATTTTCCTGCCGGGCACAGTGGCTCACGCCTGTAATCCAAGAACTTTGGAGGCCAAGGCGGGTGGATCACCTGAGGTCGGGAGTTCAAGACCAGCCTGACCAACATGGTGAAACCCTGTCTTTAAAAAAAGAAAAAAAGAATTTTCCTTCCCTGATTTCAGTGCAGCATCACCATCTGAGGGCTTACAGGGTAAATGATTTACTGATGCCGGATACCATATCAAAGGGGTGTGACATGGGCATGTGACCACAGGCTCCACTGGTCCTGATATATACCACATTATCCAAAAGTATCCTATCTAACCAGGTGATGAGATGACATACTAAAAGCTCAGCTAAGGTACCACCTTCGGGACCTCCTGCAAGGTGGGACACTGCCCTTTACGATGAAGTATAGACATTGAATGAATGGCTGGTGTATAGTGTTGTGGCCCCAACAGCTAGAGTATGTGTATCCAGCAACTTGAAAGCTTGGCTACATGCAATATTATTCTCATGGGCTCATTGGAGAAGCATTGGTGCTTCTCCTCTCTACAATCTTAGACTATGCTGGAATAGAGGTTCTGGTCCCCAAAGAGGGAATACTTCTACCAGCAGGCACTGTAGGGCTCTATGATTACCACATGGTCATTTTGGGGTCCTCATGCCAGTGAATGAAAAGGCCAAGAAAGGAAGAGGCAACTGACCTGGATTCTTGGGTAGAGCTGGCATGGTTGCTACACGAGTGGAGTAGGAAGGAGTAGGTCTGGCACACAAGGACTCACCAGGCAACCCTGGGTGCTTTGATCCCAGTGCACCTGCTGGTGGCAATCTGCAGCAGGCATAGCCCATCAAGGTAAGGCAACTAAGGGCCCAGACACCTTGGGGAGGAAGGTCTGGATCACCCCCAAGGCAAGTGACTGACAGCAGCCAAATGCTGGCTGAGAATGAAGGAATCCAGAAGGTGAATGTCAGTGACAACCTCGGGCTGTGGCTAAGTCCACCAAGCTCCCTTTCTGTAGAGACTGAGTTGGCTGATGCTCTGAAAAGTCTATGAGTCCCCAGGCTCAAGCAAAGCCAGAGTGGAACAAGAAATGGACCTCTCTGTGGAACAATAAAATACCCACTGTTTATTCCAGCCATTGCTGCAGCCACCAATTTCAAGCAAGTACCACCTGTCAGTACCTGGCCTTGGCGACACAGCTCTGTCTTGTATTCTGCCCTGAGGCTGTAGTATGAGATGCCCATAGGAGGATTCTGGAGCTAACACCCTATAGGGCAATCCCTGACCACCAGGTAATGGGAGTCAGTGGATTACCTTTTACTTCCTCTGGGAGACAGTGCTAGGGTGGCTCTTCAGGAGGTCCCAGTAAGATTGAGCTCCAGTTGCTCACAGTCGTGTCTGGCTTGAGGACGTTTTCTTGGACCAACTTTCCCTCTTCCCTGTGGAACTCTCCCCAGTCCCCCACTCTTGTTCCTGTCCATGTGTCATGTCCTGGAATAAATCTTCTGCACATAAACCTTTGACTCAGGCTCTGCTTTCTGGGAGAAACCCAAGCTAAGACAGTGCTATGGACTGAACTGTATCCTGCTTGAAGTTCTAATCCCCAGGACCTCAGAAAGTAACCTTATTCAGAAATAAGGCCATTGCAGATATAATTAGTTAAGATGAGGTCATCCTGGAGGAGGCTGAGTCCCTAATCTCATATGAGTGATGTTCTTGCAAAAGGGATGAATTTGGAGACAGACACATGGTGAATACCATGTGAAAGCAGAGATGGGGTCTGATATGGTTAGGATCTGTGTCCCCACCCAAATCTCATGTCTAACTAGTCCCCAGTGTTGGAGCTGAGTCCTGGTTGGAGGTGACTGGATCATGGAGACAGAGTTCTCAAGAATGGTATACTACTATCGTCTTGGCACCCTCCTCCTGATCATGAGGGAGTTTTGTGAGATCTGGTCCTTTAAATGTGCATGGTACCTCCTTCTTCACTCTCTCTTACTGCTCCAGCCATATGACAAGCTGGCTCCCCCTTTGCCTCCCGCCATGACTGTATGTTTCCTAAGGCCTCGCTGCAAGCCAAGCAGATGCCAGCATCATGCTTCCTGTACAGCCTGCAGAACTGTGTGCTCATTCAACCTCTTTTCTCTATAAATCACCCAGTCTCTGGTATTTCTTTGTAACAATTCAAGAATGGATGAATATAGGTGATGCATCTACAGTGAAGGAGCACCAAAGAGTGCCAGCAAACCACCAGAAGCTGGGAGAAAGACCTGGAACAGACTATCACACAGCTCTCAGATGGAGCCAACCCTGCTGACACCTTGGTCTTGGACTTCCAGCCTCCAGAACTATGAGACAATAAATTTCATTTGTTTAAAAGCTCCATACCAACCCCAGTTTGTGATACTTTGCTATGGCAGTCCCAGGAAGCTAATGCAGACACCACACTAACTTACTCCACAAAAATCCCCAAGGCACTCAAGAACTCACAGCATCAGGTACCTCTGCAGCTGAAGATAGAGTATGCTGTGGGGGAGTGGAGGGGAGTGGAGGGTAGAGGATGCAGGCTATTAGCAAAAGAGAGTGATGAAGGCTCTTCCAGAAACTTTTAGATCCCTAGATCCCCTCCCCAACTCCACAAGGCAGGTCTCTATCCCTTCCCACTCCAGCAGAATTCTGATGGTGTATTCTCTAAAGAGAGTAAAACAATGGATCTTTAGACTGACAGATGTCAGACTCAGTTGAAGGCATAGCTACCATACTAAAACACGAGTATCCGATGACAGGCTGTTATGAGTCTATTTTCACGTTGCTGATAAAGACATACCAAGACTGGACAATTTAAAAAAGAAAAAGGTTTAAAGGACCTACAGTTCCATGTGGCAGGGGAGGCCTCACAATCATGGTGGAAGGCAAGGAGAAGCAAGTCATGTCTCATATGGATGGCATCAGGCAGAGAGAGCTTGCGCAGGGAAACTCCCATTTTTCAAACCATCAGATCTCATGAGACTTACCCACTATCAGGATAACAGCACAGGAAAGACCCACCAGCACAATTCAAGTATCTCCCACCAAGTCCCTCCCACATGTGGGGAATATGGGAGCTGCAAAATGAGATTTGGGTGGGGACACAGCCAAGCCATATCACAGGCTTTAGCCTGAATGCTGTGTATAGAGAACCTCCACCACAGACTAGCTGTGTGGCCTCAGACAGGTCACACAACCTCTCTGTGCCTTCAGTTTCCTAACCTATAAAACAGGGAGAATGGTAGCATCTATCCCCTAGGATTGATATGAGAATTGAAGTCCTTAGCACTGGGCCTGGCACACATATGTTCAGTGAGTGTTTACAGAGGTCCCTGAACCCCTCTTCCTGGGGAGCTGGAGAGCCCTGAACATACATAGTTCCCAATCAGTGGGAGAAGGGCAGGACCCCAGGTTATATGCTCACAAATAGAGATCCTACCAGCTATTGATAAAGCAGAGGTCCCTAATCCCCAGGCCACAGACCAGTACCAGTTTGTGGTCTGTTAAGAACCTGATCACACATCAGGAGGTGAGCAGCAGGTGAGCAAGAGCAGAGCTTCATCTATATTTATAGCTGCTCCCCATCGTTCACATTACAGCCTGAGCTCCACCTCTGTCAGCTCAGTGGCAGCATTAGCTTCTCACAGGAACATGAACCCTGTGAACGGTGTATGCAAGGGATCTAGGTTGGGCACTCCTTATGAGAATCGAATGCCTGAGGCTGGGCATGGTGGCGTATGCCTGTAGTCCCAGCTACTCGTGAGGCTGTGGCAGGAAAATTGCTTGAACCCAGGAGGCAGAGGTTGCAGTGAGCCAAGATTGTGCCACTGCACTCCAGCATGGTGACAGAGCGAGACTCTGTCTCAAAAAAAAAAAAAAAAAAAAGAGAGAATCTAATGCCTGATGATCTGTCAGTGACTCCCATCACCCCCAAATAGGATCATCTAGTTGCAGAAAAACAAGCTTAGAGCTCCCACTGATACTACATTATGGTGAGTTGTATAATTATTTCATTATATATTACAATCTAATAATAATAGAAATAACATGCACAGTGTAATATGCTTAAGTCATCCAGAAACTATCCTTACCCTAGTGGTGAAAAAACTGTCTTCCACTAAACCAGTCCCTGGTGCCAAAAACCACAGCCCCAGGGTTGAGATGAGAATTGAAATTCTTAGCACCAGACCAGGAACGCACAGGTTCAGTGAGTGTTGACCTCGCCGAGGCCCCTCAACCCCTCTTCCTGGGAAACTAGAAAGCCCTGAACATGCATAGTTCCCAATCAGTGGGGGAAGGACAGGACCCCAGACTACACACCCACAAATAGAAATCCCCGTAGCGATTGATAAAGCATCTCCAGGCTCAGTCCATAATGAAAAGGGCCCCAGCCACTCCAGCATGAGCTCCAGACCCCACACCCAGGCCTGCCCGCCCACCGGGCCCCCTGGCTGACCGTGTTGTTGATGGTGTGCCAGGAGATGTCTTGGATGTGCTTCAGCCGTCCCTGCAGGGGGTTGTAGGAGGCGATGCTCTGGAAGGGATTCTGGCTCAGGTCCCATTGCCACTGGACAATCTCCAAGTGCAGGGCCACGTCCCCTTGCGGGTCGAAGAAGATTTGGTGGTCCAGGAGAGTGAAGTTGACCTTCCAGATCTCCTCAAGCAGCTGGTGGGGTCAGAGGGAAGGGAAGTGGAGCTAGCATCAGAATCTGGGCCAAACTTTTTCCTGGACCTGAGAAAGATTCTATCATGTCACTAGCCTTGATTTCCAACTCTGTAATATGGAGGCAATACATCTCCAAAAAGGTGACAGTTTAGGAGTCAGTGGCTGAGAGCTCTGCTCTGGAATCAGACAGATGTGGGTTCAGGCCTTAGCTCTGCCTCTTGCTGTGAGGCCTTGGACCTTTTGCTTAACCTCTCTGTAGCCGTTTCCTCTTCTGCAAAGTGGGAGCAATAAAAACTCTATCTTCTGGGCTTGGAAGCAAACAAATACATTGATCTATGTTAGGGACTTAGAGCAGAGCCTGAGACAGGAAGCACTCCTTCCAAGGTGCTGATAGAATTTCTTTTCCCTAGAAGTCACCTCAATCATCCCTCTGGGATCCAATAAATGAGGTACAGAGTCCACTGTCTCTGTCATCCCCAAAGGTCAGCTGGGATCTCCCCTGATCCCTGGGTCCTTCCTGCTCCCCACACCGTAGGGTCAGCTCTCATTCCAGTCTCTCACCTCTCTCAAGCCCCGCATCACTCTCAGTAGGCAGCAGCAAGGACAAACTAGAGCACACTTTGAACTGGGCATCCTCCAACCTAAGGTCCAGTCCCAGCTCTGTCTGCAAATTGCTGTGTGACTCTGGGCAAGTTTCTGAACCTTGCTGGGCTGACCCTGAAAAAGCTTCCAGCTCAAATATCCCAAGGATCTGGCTCCTAGATTTTCCCTCCACAAATGGGAGTGTTCATTGGGCGACACCTTCAGAGACACACAGACAGGTAGCCAAGGTAGTTGGGTCCTAGCCTTCTCCCCTCCTTGCCCGGCGGGTGAGGTCCTGGCTCAGACTCTTTGGAATGCGCACAGGTTGCTAGGCCAAGGGCAATGGTCCTTTGAGCTAAGAAGAAGGAGGCTCTAACCAGATGGTCAGCCTGAGGATAAGGATCAGGATGGTGGAGGCCCCTGGGAGTCAGGCCCTGGGTGCCCATATTGCACTCCTGCAGTATCTGCCCAAGCAGATCCTTGGATTCGAGGAGCCAAGATATCGCCCCCAAGGGATCGGAAAGCCTTTATTTATTTTTTTTTCTTGAGATGGAGTCTCACTCTGTTGCCAGGCTAGAGTACAGTGGCGTGATCTCGGCTCACTGCAACCTCTGTGTCCTGGGTTCAAGTGATTCTCCTGTCTCAGCCTCCCAAGTAGCTGGGACTACAGGTGCGCACTACCATGCCCAGTTAATTTTTGTATTTTTAGTAGAGACAGAGTTTCACCATGTTGGCCAGGATGGTCTAAATCTCTTGACCCTGTGATCCACCTGCCTTGGCCTCCCAGAGTTCTGGGATTACAGGCGTGAGTCACCGTGCCTGACTGGAGCCTAGATTATTATTGGCAGGGGTTTAGGTATCTTGGGGTTCCCCCATTGGGTTGAACCCCATTTCCCCTTCCCCATATAGCACCACCCCTGCCCCAGCATAGGCTGTACATCTAAGACAGACTCATATCCACCTCTCCAGCCCACCACTCTCTCCTGAGGTCAGGCACTCAGAGTCTGAGGAAGAGGAGGAAGAGGAGCTCCTTCAGCCTCTATGCTGCCCCAGGTAATTTGCATACATGATTGCAAATCCCCTCAATAACTCAGCAGGGTATATATGATTCCTTCCATTTAACAGATGAGAAAACCAAGGCTAGGAGATATTAAATTTGCCCAAGTTTGCACAGCTAGTAGGGCAGCACTGGGATTCCAATCCAGCTCTGATTGCTGAGCTCTGCCCAGCTCCCCACCACCTGCCTCACCATGTATGAATGGGTGGGTCATATCTGAGATGCCTGAGGGGTGGACAGAGATGGAGAGAGGGGTGTGGGGAAGGGCCAGACCAGTGCCAAGGGCCCCATTTGTGAAATAGAAGGATTGGACCAGAACCTGAGAAGCCCTCACAACCCTGACCCATCCCAGGCTCTCAACCCTGGAGAGGCTGGGGGAGAAGAGGGGCTGCAGTTCCCACTGCCTTTGGCATTTCCTTCTGCTGAATTCCACCTGAACCTCCAAGAACAGACTATCTTGGATGGCGAAGGTTAAATTAATGTAAAAAGCAATTTCGTTTTGGGACCAGGGAGGACCAGCGCTATGTGTCTGGAAGAAAGGAATGCCCGTGGCTCCTCACACCCATTTGCCTAGAACCCCAAGGGAGGAGGATGGAGGTGCCCTGCAGTCTCTACGGCAACCACCCCCTGGGGCCCTCACCTGCCAGGGGTAGACCAACCTGTTGGTGCAGGTGTTCTGGTCACAGCCAAGGAGGCTGTGCAGGGCATGGGCTCTCTATGATTCAATTACCTGCTGAACATTTTTACTGGGATGGCCACACATTTGCCAGCCTGGACTTACCCAACCTCCCACTGATGTCACCCCACCACCACCATCACCACAGGCGCACATCCGCCCAGTGCCATCTCCCACTCTCATCACCCCTGAGGCCTCTCTCTCTGCCTTGCCTCTCATGGGGTGCCCATCCCCACTACCTCAGCACTATTTCATCACCATCCACTACCACCACCCCCGGCCACTCCCTAGCTGGATGCCTGTCACCTCTCCGAACCTCAGTTTCACCTGTGTATGGGAGAGCACCCATGTAGAAACAGTGTCTGCTCATCGGGTGTCTGAGGGTAACTGAGAATTTAAATAAAGAGGTGAACACAATGTCTGGTGCATAGAAAGTGCGCAGTCATTCATTCATTCAGACCAGTGCCAGCAACCTGGGATATCACTGGAAAGGATTGACAAGGTCCCTGCTCTCACTGGCCTGTTTGGAAGGTGTGGGGAATAGCCATCAAACAAAAAAAGAAAATCAACACAGTAACAACTTGGGATATGTGTTTTGATAAAAATAAACAGTGCCGTGGTGTGACCCGGCAAGGGGGATGGGAGGTAGGAAGGACACCACAGACCATTTTGCAGGTTGTGCCCTGCACGAGTGGGTCCAGTTAGGACAACTGGGAGGAACAGCTGGAGTCCAGCCCACTCAGGCCACCAAGCCACACGCCTGCCACAGGTCTGCATCCATCCGAAGCAAAGAGCATCTTGTTCTGACTTCTCTTCACAAAAGGGCATCATCTTCTAATTCACACAAGGACACCGTTGATGCCAGCAGAGACCCCGGGCAAAGCCTACATGGGGTGGGCTGGGCTTCCTGTTCTTTGACTCCATCATCCCCCACCACAGTCCTAAATTGGCTTGCTGAGCTGTCTCAAGAACGTCATCTTGGTGCTTAGAACTCTCTATGAACTCCTGCTGCCTCTAGGACAAAGCCCCCTCTCCTTCACCCGGCACTAGATGCCCTCCAGTATCACCTGCACTTCCTGTAGCCTCTCAGTCTTTGCCACATGAACCCAACCATGTGGCCCCCACTCTCCCACTCTCCTCCTGGAAGCTCCAGTGCCTGCTCACTCCCTACATCAGTCCTGCCTTCCGTGACCCCCTCCCACCATGATGACGCCCGTGCCCTGTGCACAGCTGCAATTCTGACTTCCTGCTGCACTTGGCAGACAGAGCTTATAAACTAACCTCATCTCTTCCTAGGGTGGGGGTCCCCCAGGCCTGGCACATAGTAGGTGCTCAACAAAAGGGATAGAGCACCCTGGTTGCTATGATTGGTGCCCTTTCGTCTCTACTCCTGGGAGAAGGAGAGCCAACTGTCTTTCATCATAGCTCCTGCCAGTTGCAGCTGGGAGGATGCCCAGAAGGCGAAGTGGGAAAACCACAGCAGAATGGGCCAGACCTGGGTTCAAAGCCAGGGTCTGCCACTTACCACTGAACAATCACGAGCTAGTCACTTTAACTTCCTGTCCCTCAGTTTTTCTACCTGTAGATTATCCTCACAGGATGGTCATGAGTTAGATGTGATGTATACTAGGCATTCAGTGCCTAGCAGGCACTCGCAGAGCAGTAAAGCACCCATGATCGTTATGTGTATCGTTAATGTAGCAGGACATGGAGCAATACACAGCATTTTTACCAAGTGGCAGCAGAATTCCTTTTAAAGAATAACTGCGATCTTTTAAAAGAAAAATGTTCAAGGTTGCAAGGTTAGGATCTGAGGTTATGGGATAGAGAGGTACAATTACATAGAATGAGAAAGAGAAGTTCTTCAGAGCAAACTAATTTGCTCTGTTAAGGAAGTGAAGAGTTATTTGAGGACGGGAGAGGGATCTAGCAAGTGGGAGAAAGGAGAGAACGAAGAGGGGAGATGGGCAGGGCTTGGGGAGGTGGCTGAGCAAGAGTGGAAGGCTGGCTCCAAACTGTGAAAAGCCAAGCAATTGTTTAAGAACAGAGATCTCTAATAGCAAATTATAAAGTGTGTCTCTCTAATGCAAATCCCCTCTGCGCCTCTGATCCTGAGTAAAACCTTCTATATCCCAGCAGGCTTCGTGGTAGGGGGTTTCTGTGTGTGCCTGTGAATGTGGATGTGTGTGCTAAACCAGAAGAACAGATCTAAAGTCTCTGTCTGAACCCTGGTGATAGAGAACTAGGGTCATGAGAAGACCCATAAAAGTGATGAAAGGCCTTAGAGGGTCCAGGGGAAAATGCAAGCCCATCCCAGACTCCCAACCACGGAAAGGCTGGAGAGGGGAGGGAGGCTGCCATTCCCGCTGCCTGTGGGATTTCCTTCTGCTGAATTCTACTTGAATCTCCAAGAACAAACTATCCTGGATGCTGAAGGTTAAATTAATGTAAAAAGCAATTTTGTTTTGGGACCAGGGAGGACTAGTGCTATGTGTCAGGAAGAACAGGATGCCTGTGCCCCTTCACACTCATTTGCCTAGAACCCCAAGGGAGGAGGATGGAGGTGCCCTGCAGTCTCTATGGCAACCACCCCCTGGGGCCCTCACCTGCCAGGGATAGACCACCCTCTTGGTGCAGGTGCTGTGGTCACAGCTGAGGAGGCTGTGCAGGGCATGGGCCACGGCGTAGACCGCAGAATACACACTGTATACGATGCGCTCCCCAGAGAGCCTGAGAACGGTATTGAAGGACAAGGTGGAGTTCAAACAGGTGTCACACTCCTGGTTGCAGGTAGACCTCTGGTTGGTCGGCCCAGCCTGTGGGCCCCGCACGCGGAACTCGCTGAAGCCTGGGATGGGCACATTCTGGATGGTGATGCCCAGGAAGGTGCCCGTGCGGTGCAGCCCCGTGAGGTTGTGCAGGACCGGGTCGATGGCCCAGGACTCGGAGGCAATCCACACAGCGCCTGTGAAGTTCTGGCGCAGCACCTCCCTGAAGAAGTTGTACAGGCTCAGGTCAGGTGAGAACACAACCACGACGCGCGCCGTGCTCTGCTGCAGCTTCTCCACGATGCTCACCAGGCGCTGGTGATCCTCTGGCATTATGTCCTGGTTGGACTGCAGTGTGGGCAGCGTCTCCTGGAAGGCGATGCAGATGTCGCCACCGGCCAGGCGATCACCCAGCATCTGGCCATTGTCGCGGCCATAGGTGTCGCTGCTCACCAGCACACTGATCCAGTTCCAGTGGAAGTGCAGCATCAGCTGCACCATGGCCTCGATGTGGTGCTTGGCGCTGGGTGTGGTACGCAGCAGGGCCGGGAACCGCTGCTTGTCTTGCAGCTGGTCGCTGATGGCGCTGTAGGTGATCTGCAAGAGGAGAGGCCATGGCATGAGCAAGTGCCTCACTGGGTGCTCTGCCGCCACCCCAGGGCTCTATTCACCATCGTCATTCAGAAAGCACCTAGTACAACCCACCCCAGAGGGAGGTTGTTTACACCATCATGGTCTGTAGGTAGCCACATGCAATAAGAACCTACTGTGTGCCGGGCCCCAGCACCATCATGATTATTGAGCACCTACTGTGTACCATGCCCTGGGCCAAGCCGTATACACCATCATCCTCATAGTCATCAGCACACTGGCTTTTAGTAAGAACCACATCCTGGGCTAGGTGTGACATTCCCATCATCCCCATCACCTAGAAACCCTTACTGAGCACAGTGCTTTCCCCCTCGCCCTCATCACCATCAGGCTCATCAACTGGCCACGTTTCTTCCCTCTGCCTCCAGTGCTCCATGGTTTTCTTCCCAACTCACTGGGTGTCCCATCTCTTTTGCTGGTTCCTTCTCTTCTCTATGGCCTCTTAGCCTTGGAGGACTCTGGCCTCAGGCTTCGGTCCCTGTCTCGTCTCCAACTGCTCTCCCTGTCCCTTGATGGTCCCATCCAGCTTCATGGCTTCAAATCCCACTTCCACACTGACAACTCCCAATGGACAGCCTGGCCTGGACTTCTCTCCTGAACTCCAGACGCATACCACACCTGCCTGCCTGATGTCTCGGACTTCACAAATCCAACCCAAAGCCCTGCTCTCCTCTGACCCTGTTCCACCCACACCCTCCCCCATCTAGGTTGATGACGAATCCATCTTTCCAGTGACTCAGGCCAAAAACTCTGGAGACGCCCTTGACTCTTCTTTCACACACAGGTCACAGTGGATCCATCAGCAAATCCTCTTGGCTCTACCTTCAAAATGTATCCATCCAGCACCTACCAGCTCCACGCTTCCTGCTGTCCAGCCACCATCGCCCCTGGCCTACGCTGCAACATGACACACCCACTTTCCCCTACAGTCTACGCAGAACGTGGCAGCCCGGTGACCCTGCTCACATGCGTGTCAGGTCACTTTACTCCTCCTCTCAGAACCCCTCAACAGCTGCTAACATCACCCAGGAAAAGCCAGAGTCCTTGAAGGGCCCCTAAGGCCTCCAACATTTCTTTGCAGAGCCCTCACCCGTCTGGTTTCATCTCCTTCTCCTCTCTCTCCAGCTCCACTTCCGCCAACGTGCCAGGCACCTTCTGGCCTTGGCATTTGCTAACCCCTCTTCCTGGAATGCTCTTATCTTAGATCCCTCCTGGCCCCCTCACTCCTTCACCTCCCTCAAGTCTTTGCCCTGTTGTCAGTGAGACCCACCTGACCACCCTGTTGAAAACTGCAATCTCCCTGTACCAACTCCTCCTTTCCATCAACATGCCAGATCCCTCTACCCTGCCCACATTTTTATTTTATTCATTGCACATCTCACCTCTGACATCCTACCTCACTTATTGTTTACACTTATTTTCTGTCTCTCCCCGCTAGGAGAGAAGCTCCACGAGGGCAATGATTTCCATATTCTTGCCAATTATATCCCAATACCTACAACAGTACCTGGCACATAGTAGGTGCTCAATAAATATCTGTTACACGAATGAAAAAATGAATTCAGTCCTCAGATAGATGCTTCATGTAAAAGTACTAACATTAAACACTAACAATCGCAATATTCATGACTGCCTACTATGTGCAAAGTCTTTTGCTAGCTGATCTTGAATGAATATATAGTCTGTACCCATACTGCACTGGGCACTTTCAATCAAGATGATGATAATAGTTATAATACTAGTAATAATACAAATAACCCTTTTTTGAGGACCTACTAGGGCACAGACCTTGTGCATACCAAATAATATTAAGCACTTCAAGTTTTCATTCCTGTGCAAGATGCTTTATAAAAACATTATTGAGAGGCTGGGCACAGTGGCTCATGCCTGTAATCCCAGCACTTTGGGAGGTCAAAGCAGGTGGATCACCTGAGGTCAGGAGTTCGAGACCAACCTGACCAAAATGGAGAAACCCCATCTCTACTAAAAATACAAAATTAGCGGGGTGTGGTGGCATATGCCTGTCATCCCAGCTACTCGCGAGGCTGAAGCAGGAGAACCGCTTGAACGTGGGAGGCAGAGGTTGCGGTAAGCCAAGATCACAACACTGCACTCCAGCCTAGGCATCAAGAGCAAAACTCCATCTCAGAAAAAAAAATTATTGACTACCTACTGTGTGCTAGAAACTTACACAGGTTGAACACTAATCTTCAGATAGTCCTGTGATGGAACGCTCATCATCCCACTTTACAGGTGGGGAAACTGAGGCCTAGAAGAGTTAAGAGATGTGCCAAAGGCTTCACTGTGGCCAAGACTCAGAGCCAAGTTGCACAATCAGATCTGCCCCCCAAAAGCCTGAGCTCTTATGCCATAAGCTGCTGCCTTCTCAAGATTCAGGCTGATGTCCTGATCCTGCTTCTAGTCCTAGCATCACCTCCCATGATTGATAGAGGAAGTGGCTTCTGAGGCCCCTAGACAGCCACTCCTCTTCCCTCCTTTCCATGTTCTTCTCCAGGGCCCAGGGGCCTCACCTGTGGAAGGAGAAAGAGGGAGAGGAAGTGGGCCACAGTCATGACAGACTCAGAGTTTTCAGGGCCAATGACAGCCACCACACGGGGCACGTAGTTACTGTAGTCCTCTCGGATGGGAAGAAGGTTGTCCTCCTGTGCCAGGAAGTAGAGCGCCGGCTGGACATTGTTGGAGATGTAGCACACATCCACCATCTCGTAGCCCAGCAGCACATTAGGCAGCAGGCTGCTGTCATTGTTGATCTCCTCCACCGCGAAGCGCATGGCCTGCATGAGGTTGTAGCCACTCACCTTCATTTCATACCTGGAGGGGCCACAGCAGCATGAGGTGGAAGTAGATTCAGAGTGAGGAAGGGAGGGGTAAGAGAACCAGCCTTCCTCCTCACTGCCACAGGAAAGCCAAGGCATTGGCTGAAAAGGAACCACTTCAGAAGACTCTGGAATTTTCACGTCACTGTCACCATGGCACATCTCTAGGGGCACTATTGACCATGTGGCCACCACTGACACTATTATCCATGTGGCTGTGATCACTATAACCTCCATCACCACTCTACCGATGTCCACCAATGTGACCACCATTATCCACTATAACTTCCATCATCACCATCACCACTATCACCATCATCACCAACTATCCCTATTACCAATATCACCACCACTGCCATCACTGTCACACAACATTGTGACCATCATCACCACCATCATCTCTGTCACCATCACCATCTCTGTCACCACCATGACTATTACTATCAGCACCACTACTATCTCCACCAATATCACCACCATCATCACCATCATTTCCACCATCACCATCACCATCATCACTGCCATCGCTAACACCATCACCACCATCACCATCATCATCACCACCACTATCACCACCACCATTTCCACCATCACCATCACCACCATCACTATCAACAGCACCATCATCACCACCATCACCATCACCATCATCACTGCCATCACCACCACCATCACCATCATCACTGCCATCACCAACACCATCACCACCATCACCATCATCATCACCACCACCATCACCACCACCATTTCCACCATCACCATCACCACCATCACTATCAACAGCACCAGCATCACCACCATCACCACCACCATTTCCACCATCACGACCACCATCACCAACATCACTGCCATCACCAACACCATCACCACCATCACCATCATGAGCACCATCATCACCACCATCATCACCACCATTTCCACCAACACCATCATCACTGCCAACACCAACACCATCACCACCCCTATCACCAATATCATCACAATCACCATCATCACTGCCATCACCATCATCATCATCAGTGCCATCATCACCACCATCACCATCATTGCCACCAGCGTTTCCACCATCACCACCACCGTCACCATCATCACTGCCATCATGATTATCACCACCATCACCATTTCCACCATCACCAACACCATCACCACCATCACCATCATCAGCACCATCCTCACCACCATCACCATCATCAGCACCCCCATCACCAACATCACTACCATCAGTATCATCACCAACACCAGCACCATCATCAGCATCACTATCAACACCACCATCACCATCATCACCAACATTATCATTGATAGCATCACCATCATCACAGCAACCATCACCATTATGACTACCAGCACCATCATTACCAATACTATTACCACCACCACCACCATCGCCATTATCACCACCATCACCGTCATCACTGCCATCACCAACACCATCACCACCATCACCATCATCAGCACCATCATCACCACCATCACCATCATCACCACCCCCATCACCAACGTCACTACCATCAGCATCATCACCAACACCATCATTGATAGCATCACCATCATCACAGCAACCATCACCGTCATCACCACCATACTCTTTATCATTGTCATCATCACCAGTATTACTGTTATCAACATTATCAGCATCACCACCACTACATTCATCATCATCATTATACACCCCGCCATGATCACAGCATTAGAAAATCCAGCCTTGGGCCTGGTGCCATCACCTTCACCATTCTCAAGCCAGCATACAATCCCCAATGTCATAAATGATGCATTTCTTATAGTCAACCCTTAATCATCTTTTACACTGTCCTACCTTTCTCCTTGTCTCCCACAATACCTTCACCCCCTCTGCAAGAGGTCAGTATTTTTATAGTCCCAGGCTGGCTCCATGTCGCAGCCTTCATGCTGGCATGGGGATGCACCCACCCCCTACAATCTCCAAGTGATGCTGCCATCCCAAGGGGCTCGTGGAGGAGGTGAGGGAAGGGGAACTTCCCTCTAGGCCCAAAAGCACCCCTACCCACCCAGCCACAGGCCTTGGAAAATGCAGTCTGAGAACCTGCTACAGAAAACTCACATTCTGCCTCCCAAAGGTTTTTTGAATGAGCTTTGACACGGACCCATTGGGAGTCCTCCCAGTTGCCAAAGTGGGTGGGGCAGTTTTGATGGCCCTCTAGGCTCAAACATTCTGCAACTCAATTTTTTTAAAAAATGACATTGAGATGAGCCAAGCCTCAGTGTTTCAGAACACAATCGCCAAAGATTTTGGTAACACGCACTGTATAAGGCCTCCCTGGGGGCTAGGGGCATGGATCCAGAATAAGGGGGTTGGCAATAAATGGGGAGCAGTGCTCTAAGCCTTTGGCCCTGGCCTGGCTCCCAAGGACCACAGGACCAGCCCTGGCTTCCCACCCCATCCCCACTGCCACTTCCAGCCCCCACTGGAGACTCACTCCTTGCACATGGGCACCTGCAGGAAGTTGAGGTGGACAATGCCCTTCATGTTGGCATGGAGGGTGAAGAGGCCACCCAGGAGGTAATCCCCAGGCAGGTGGAAGTCCGAGTTCTCAGCTAGCTCAGCCAGGACCCACAGCAGGAAGAACAGGAAGCAGACGGTCCTTGCCCTGGGCCCCATGGCTGGGAAGTGATGGTGTCAGGAGGTAGTCCTGCCTCGCTGGAGAACTGGTGTTCAATGACAGTGCATTTGCACAGACATTTACATAGCGATGGTCCTGCCACTGACCGCGGGGCACCTGGAGCAGATGGAGAGGTTTGGGGGCCCAGGGGAGGAAAGGAGGCTGGAATTACGATGATTCTTTCTTAAAGCACCGTGGGGCTAGGTGGTCTAGGCAAACCCGATTTGGAAAGAAAGGAAGCACCCTGATAACTTGGCTACACCCTAGCCTTCTGCCACTTGTCCAAGGACAAAGTCTTATCTTCCTGACATTTCAAATAGTTCAGGAGCAAAGGACATAGGTGCTGTCAGGAGACAGAGTAGTGTGGCCAGAAGCACCCAAGCTCTAGAGCCCAGCCAAGTCAGGCCAGGCATGTAGTGATGTACAGGTGCTCAGAAAGTGGTAGCCATTGTCAGTAAGAATCAGGCATCATTTGCTGCTCATCATCTCATCTAAGGCTCACAGTAACGGGGACCATTACTAACCCCACTTCAGAGATGAAGAAATGGAGGCGCTGAGAAATGAAGAAACGCAGCCCCGGCCACATGACTAGCAGAGCTGAGATTCAAACCACGTGGTCTGACACCGGGGCTGGGTCCTTCATCGCCACACCTCATTACATCACAAAGTTAGAGCTTTTGATTAAAAAAAACAAAAACAGCAGTTACAAAGAGGATAGGGGAAGGAGTGGAGGGGGTGGCCTCCCACCCTCTGAAGGCTGCCATCGTCAGCCTAGCAACACCCTCTCTGGGTCCCAACCCTCAGACCCCACACCAAAGGGCAGGGTTGTTGGCAAAACAGAAAGTTGGAAATTCCTAAATTCAAAGGTGAATACTCCCAAGGAGTCAGAGGTGGGGAGGTGGCTCCAGTGAACTAGGGACCCATTTGAATCAGAGACCTTTGTCCACTTGGAGCTGTTTTGTTCCTTTCCAGCCCTAACAACAGGTGGCCGAGACTTAGGGGACCGGCCACACACCACTCAGCTGGAATGGGTCGGTCATAGGCACGTACCTGGCTGCTGCGCTCCAGGGCTCTGATGGGCAGAGGCTTCAAGGTACAAAGAGGTGATTAAAAACCCCGTGCACTGCCCTTGTCTGCCTCCATGTGAGCTGGCCCAAAGCCCCAGAGCTGACTCTCCACTACCCCACAGGCTCTCTCCATGCCCTCCCACTTTCCACGCCACACCCCCTGCAGACCCTCATCACCCCCTTTCTGCACCTCTCCATCTGCCCCATGCTGTCTGTTTAAAACCCCAAACCACAGCTCTCAGTTCATCCCTTCTCTGCTCTAATACCCCACCCCACCCCCACCGTCACCAGCTGGATCAAGTCTGAGCTCCTTGTCCTGGTATTTGAGGCCTCCCCAGCCTGGCCCCAGCTCACTCATCCTCCCTTTCCCAGCCTTTCTAGCCTGGTCTCTCCTGCAGCATGTGCCACAAACCACAGCCACACTGGCCTCCTCGGATCTGGGTCCCTGGAGGATCTTCCTGGGGTAGCATTCTAGTGACCTCCCAAGACCATAGACACCCACCCTGCCAAATACCTAGGGGTTATGAGTGGGTCATAACAACAAATAACACCTTTCCCGGAGCATGATTTGTTGTTTCTGTTTTTTAGAGACAGGGTCTCACTCTGTCACCCAGGCTGGAGTGCAGTGGCATAATCAAAACTCACTGCAGCCTCGACCTTCTGGGCTCAAGCGATCCTCCCACCTCAGCCTCCTGAGTAGCTAGGACTACAGGCACGTGCTGCCACACCCAGCTAAGTTTTTAAATTTTTTGTAGAGAATGGTGACGGTGGGGGTGCGGTGGGGTATTAGAGCAGAGAAGGGATGAACTGAGAGCTGTGGTTTGGGGTTTTAAACAGACAGCATGGGGCAGTCTCATGTTGCCCAGGATGGTCACGAACTCCTGGCCTCAAACGGTCCTCCCTCCTCTGCCTGCTGAAGTGCTGGAATGACAGGTCTGAGTCGCCACGCCTGGTGTGTATTAAACACACCCAGAGTCTACTAAATTCCAGGCATTGTGCCAAGCATTTTATATGCATTGTCATTTAATTGATTTGCATTAGCGTTTAATTCTTACAACTCCCCTTCAAAGTAACCATTTTTATTCCCATTTTGAAGATAAGAAAACTGAGGCTCAGAGAAGCTAAGAAAAGTCACAGAGCTACTAGGTGGTGAAGCCAGAATGTAAATCCAGGCTGCCCAAGCTCCTAGCCCCCGTGCTAAGTGTGTTCTGCCCACAGAAGCTGTCACTGTGCCTCCCACCATGGGGGTTCAGGGATGGCGCTGCCCTCCCTCAACACAGGTCCCACCCCAGGTGCTGGGGAAGGATTCATTCCCGGTAAGACCACAAGAAGCCACATATGACTGCACATGTCTGTTCTGAATCGGGGAATAAAGATGCTGGGAGCTGGGAGGCCCTGGGATGCTCTGGAGACTTCCATAAAGCCACATTATTTGGCAAAGCTTAGGAGTAAGGGGATGGCAGAGAGATAGAGCATCTAAGTTAACTGGGAACCCCAGGATATAGCGCTGATTTCAGGGCACCCCCTTTTCCTGCCCCAACCACTCCTGGGGCGGAGTCATCCCATGGGCCTGTAAGACAACAGCGGGAGGCCTCCTGATGCTGCAGGAAGAAGCAGAATTGGCTGTGTGATCTGGGCCTGTCCCTGCCCCTCTCTGGGCCTGGGTAAACGAGTGGATGGGAACTGGGGATGCATACAACAAAAGGAAGCGCGCTGCATGGAGTGTTTGGACATGTGGGCTCTGGGCCTGACTCTCCCTTCTCTGGGTCTCAGTTTCCTCCTCTATAGAGTGGGGAGGCCCCCTTTGCACTGCCTTTATCTGCCTCCGTTTCAGTCAGCCCAGAGCCCCAATCTCAGGTTTTGAGACAGGGAGGGTGGTAGAGGACAAGAATGCCTGGGCAAGCCGTCCATCCAGTGGGCACCGGCTGAGCCCACTGTGTGGCACAGTTTACCATCCAGAGACAGAAACCAAGGCCCTGGTGAGGGCAGTGCATGCTGGAGGACAGCAGGGAAGCAGGCCCATCCAGTGTGATGTAGTGTCAGAGCCAAGAGAGCCTACAGAGACCCACAAGCCTACCCATTGTACAGATAGGGAAACTGAGGCCTGGAGAGGGGCAGTCACGCAAGTCCAGAAAGGCAGATTGACTTTCAGGACCAAGTTCTTTCTGGGTCAAGTCCAGAAAGGCAGATTTCTTTCTGGAACAAGGGGCTAAGGCTGGGATTTGAGCCCTCTGCTCTAATGAAGTCAATCAAAAGTACATCAGGACAGCAGGTGATGCCACCAGGATGGGGTAAAGAGGAAGGAAGCACCAACCAGCCAAGAGCTCCATGGGGGAGGCAGGGTCTGTGCCGTGAAACATGGGACAACGAGGATGATAGTGAGCACAAGCGATTTCTGTTGTTAACGTGATTCAAGGATTCTATCTGCTGGGCGCTGCGCTGAGCCCTCGCCATGCTCTGCCGTCCTGTTTTATTCTACCGTTTTTGTTTATTTTTTTGTTTTGTTTTGTTTTGATTTTTTTTGAGATGGAGTCTTGCTCTGTCACCCAGGCAGGAGTGCAGTGGCATGATCTCAGCTCACTGCAACCTCCGCCTCCTGGGTTCAAGCGATTCTCCTGCCTCAGCCTCCTAAGTAGCTGGGATTACAGGTGTGTGCCACCAAACCCAGCTGATTTTTGTATTTTTAGTAGAGATGGGGTTTCTCCATGTTAGCCAGGCTGGTCCTGAACTCAAGTGATCCACCCGCCTTGGCCTCCCAAATTGTTGAGATTATAGGCATGAGCCACTTCACCTGGCCTATTCCGCCTTAAGGTGCTACTATCGCCCCATTTTGCAGAAGAGAGGAGATTGAGGTTCAGAGAGGACCAGTAACTTACTCAAAAGCACACAGCAAGTATGCAGATTGGAACAACCCAAGACCCTAATGGGGGCTGATGAGAGTGGTGGAGACTCAGGGACTCCAATGAGGAAGAAATAATGGGGGTCCCACTGACAGGGAGAGCTTTTTTGCGTGGGCTGTTACTATGGATAGATGGTGTCTCTGAAGACTGAAAACTGAAGGCACACTGGACAGAGAGTCAGAGTCCTGGTCCAGCTCCACCCCGACCTGCGACGCTGCTCTTGAGTAAGTCACTTGCATTCTCTGGGCCTCACTCTCCCCATCTGTAAAATGGACTAAGTGCTTCTTAATGGATTGGAGACAAGCATCCTTTTGAGATTCTGATGAAAGCCCTGCACACCAACACACCCCCAACAAATGCAGCCATGCACCCACATCCAGGACGTTGCCAGTCCTTGAGGCTTATCTGAGAACTCTCGGCTGAGATGATCTCCAAGGTCCCCTCAGGCCCTGACATTATCTAGGAGGGGCAAGCAGACACTGTCCAGAGCACCGGCTTCCCTGAGGACAGATGTCTGGGAATGCCATGGGAAGGCCTGGGAATGTCACTGGGATTCTCCTCCAGTGCCACACACATAGCATGTGCCCCAGTATGGCTGGACACAGCGCAGGCCAGCCCTAGCCATCACCCTCACCGCCTGGTCCAGGGCCTGCGGTCCCTATGCTCATACCTGTGTGGCTGTCCAGGTGATTAACAGCCATGACACACTCATGCAAAGTACACGGGGGAAGGAGAGAGGGGTGAGCTATGGAAACAGCCAGCCAGGAGCTGCCCATTTGCCTTGGCATCTGCTTACCCTAGGGCTCACGGAAAGGAAATGAGCATGTCAGCTGAAAGGGGCTGCTTTGAAAGTCCTTCCTCCCCCTGCCCTATGGTTGGATGGGGGCTGGGGCACAGGGGAAGCCCCCAAGAGGGGCCTGACCCTAGGGACTGGGGGATGCATCAGCTGCTGCTCCCACCTGACCCTCTAATCTGTCTCTGCCTCTCTACTTGCAAGTCTCTCTATTCACTCCTGTCTCCTTCCCCACCCACCATTCCCTCTCTCTCTTTCTCACCAGCACTCCATACTCCAGGACAAAACTGGGCCACTAGAAACCCACCTCTAGTCTGGCTTATGATGGGCAGGGGGTGGGCACGCAGGGCCACCCCAGGACAGGTCTGGGAGATGGGCAGCCCCTAAGCCAACCTGTTTGGTTCAGAAGCACCTTGGAGGAGGGTTGCTGGGAAGACCTCAAAGCCAGGTCTCAGAGGACCCAGCCTCATCAGCACTTCTCACCCAACTCCTATGAGACAAGAAGTCCAAGGAGTGGAGTGGTGTGGGCTCCTAAAGCTGGAAAGCCAGGGGTCAGCTAAGACATGAGGAAGGGACCCTGCTGTGGTTGGGATACCCTTTTGTACCCAGGGATCCACTCAAGCCTCCTCACCAAACTTTGTTGGGTAATGCTGAACAAGTTGCCTCTCAACCAGAAAAAGAGCTGGAGGTCTTAAATGACCACAAGCTCAATAAGAGCCAAGAGGGTAATAGTAACTAAAGCCTAAAGGAAGGGAATCAGCTTTTATGGAGACTCTGCAATGCTTTCAAACAGCACTGCATCTGCTCGTCAGAATTCTATGAAGGGCCTTTTATCCCCATTGTACAGATGAAGAAACCAGAGCTCAGGAGGTTAAGTGGCTTGTCCAAAGTCACTGGGAACTGACTTTTCTTCCACCTCCTGAACTGATCCTCCTGCCTCAGCCTCTTGTGTGGCCGGGATTACAGGTGCACACCACCATGCCCAGTTAATTTTTGTATTTTTAGTAGAGACGGGGTTTCACCATGTTGGCCAGGCTGGTCTTCAACTCCTGATCTCAGGTGATCCACCCATCTTGGCCTCCCAAAGTGCTGAGAATTTAATAATGTAAATTTGCATTTATCATTTTTTTTTTTTTTGAGTCAGAGTCTCACTCTGTTGCCCAGGCTGGAGTGCAGTGGTGCAATCTTGGCTCACTGAAACCTCCACCTCCTTGGTTCAAGTGAGTCTCCTGCCTCAGCCTCCTGAGTAGCTGGGACCACAGGCATGTGCCACCATACCTGGATAATTTCTGTATTTTAGTAGAAATGGGGTTTCACTATGTTGGTCAGGCTGGTCTCGAACTCACGACCTCAAGTGATCCTCCCACATCAGCCTCCCAAAGTGCTGGGATTACAGACGTGAGCCACTGCACCCAGCCAGCACCCTCAATTTTAGTGCTAGTAAAAGGGTGGGGTCTATGACTCTGTGGCTCTCAACTCT